CATTGCATAACCCAAAAGGCATTACCAGATATTCAAATAAACCAAATGGTTTAATTAATGCTGTTTTTTCTCTGTCTTCAGGAGCTATGGGAATTTGATGATAAGCACGAGATCTAAAACTGAGTATATTTTTGAGCCTTCTAACTGATGTGTAARGTCGTGTATATGAGGAAGAGGATACCTATCTGGTTGAGTTATACTATTGAGCCTACGGTAGTMACCGCATGGTCTCCATTCTCCAGTTTTCTTCCTTACCATATGTAAAGGACTAGCCCATTGACTTTTTGACGGTTGACAAATACCTTGTTTTAGCATTAWTTCGAATTCTGTTYTTGCAGCTTTAAGTTTTTCRGGTGGAAGACGTCTCGCTTTTTYTGTAATTGGAGGGCCTTTAGTTACTATGTAATGTTRAACTCGATGCTTTGTACTATTGGTGAAGTTTGGCCTTTGGTATCGCCACGAATTTCCTTAGCAGCTCGTGACATCCATTATTGCTATTGATCGTAGWAWTTGTGGGGTGACTGGAATTGCTARTTTCACCTCTGCTAGAAAGTTGCGTTTTGCSATCAATCAATTTTTTATTTTTTATGTCCACCAGTAAATTATAATATCCTAGGAAATCTACTCCCAAAATTGCTCTTGTTGTTTTTGCMACTGTGAACTTCCATATAARTTGTCTACGTAAGCCTAGGTTTATGGAAAGTACTTTTTTACCATACGTATGAATGGTTGAACCGTTTGCAGCATATAGGTTACATTCGCTGTCTAATGTTCTCCTGTCACCAGATGTTTTTGGGATAACAGATATATCAGCGCCTGTGTCTATCAAAAATCTTATTCCGGATATTCTGTCTGGAATTATGAGGCGGCATCTCCAATCGCCTCAATATTAGATGGTGTATCTAGTTTCCCTGTTTTCGCTGATATGGGCCGGTCCAGTTACAAGGTTTACGACATCTCCATGACTTTTCGCCAAATTTTGCATGGAAATAGCATGGTCTATTCCTATCACGACTCCTTGATCTTGATCTATTCAGTGGAATGATAAACTGGTCGATTATATCGTCTACCATGATATTTACCTCTTACTAAGGTTTCCAGGTGGGCCATTTTTTCTGTGAGCTGTGCCATTTCGTCGTGTAGTTTTCTAT